TAGCTAAATTTTTAGCTACATCGCATTGCCACCTAAGTAGTTATACCCCATTGGCGGCCGCAGCTAGGCCAGGTGTTACTGTGAGGCTCAAAAATAAAATGCAAAACCGAAATCAAGCGGGCGATAATGTTTATCGTGTGGTGACGCGGCGGGCGGGCAGTACAAAGAGAGCGGTGTGTGTGTTGTGCCGCGGGGTGCTTTCCATCGCGTGCCGAGTGCCGAGCGCCGGTGTGAAGTGCAGCGAGTCCGGCGAAAGGAAAGCACGGGGCTCGCACAGCTCGCGGCTGCACTTCGCACCTGTCACGCTCTCTGTGCTCTGCGTTTGGGGGATACGCCCCGCGCCTTACGGTAGCCGCCGAGGGGTACTTCACTACCAATTCAGGCGTACACCAACACTTAACTGGTTTTTTTTTCTGGCTTTTTAAATTTTCTGTTATTTTAAAAGAAACATCTTTTTTAAAAATGATTTTTTAAAATTGATATTTTCTTTATTTTTAAAATTGTTCTTGTTTTGGGGTGTGAAATTGTTTGTTTTTCCTCTTTTTCCTTGAGTTAAGTACCACTCGGTGGACGCGGCCCACGGCTAGTGCATGGCGCTCGTGGCGGGTCCTCTGCGCGGGTAGGGGTGCACGACTTTGACGCCCCTTTTGGACACCCTGTGCGCGTGCTCCATAGGGGTACTTTTTACGCTCGCTTTTTTTCAAGGCAATAATCGGCGTGTATGTATATATTTGCAGCTGGGCTATTGTTTGTGAGATTTTGCAATTGCGTCGCTCGTTTTGGCAGGCCGCGGTTGTTTTCGCAGCTCCGGCATGTCGGCGCCCCAACCAAAAAAGCTCCGCGACACCGCGAAGCGGCCGCGCGCTCCTCGCGGACTGCGGACCGCGGACCCCGTATAAACGTTATGCAAGGGGTGGTCGTGTTGAACCCGCCACCGCTGAATCTGAAATTTTTCCCGCTCGTCGGTCCTCTTCTTCCTCGTCGGTCCTCTTCTTCCTCGTCGCTCTCGTCCTGCTCGTGCAGCGCCAGGCCCCCGGGGCCACAGGCCCTGCTCATGAGCAGGAAGCCCCCCACGGCCGCACCATGAGGAAGCCCGCACCACGCGCACGGCTCGCGGCCCGGGGCCTCCGGGCCGCTCACCATGTCGCGTCGCCCCTCCTTTGCCTTTCCCGTTTCCGTTGCGTCGAGTCGTAACCGAGGGTACTTGATGCGTACACCGATTTTTCTGTTTCGCCTTATTTTTCTGGATCGTAATTTTTTAGCAGATGATACTTTCAGTTTATCAAATGAGGCACACTAACTGATTTTTTCAATGTGTTTTCCTTTTGGTTGTTTTTTTTTCCCTCGTGGGTTTTTTTGGAGGGTGCACGTGCACACTGATATTCTTGAAGTACCCCTGAGTCGTAATATAACGAACCTTTTTCTCTTGTGTGTCCGCAGCTGGGCGGTGTCGACCGTCATGACCCGGCAGAACGCGGTGGTGTCCGCGGACGGCGGCGACCTCACGCAGGCGCTCATCCCGCTGTGGGACATGTGCAACCACGCCGACGGCAAGGTGAGCGTTTGATTTATGAAGTTACTCCGCCTTCTCGATTTGACGTCATTTATGTGCGACCCCGACCACCCGGACCACCCTACGAAAGGAGAGATGTGAAAAGCCAACCCAAATCTTTGTGTGGTGCCGCAGCTCTCCACGGACTTCAACGTGGCCCTGGACCGGTCGGAGTGCGTCGCCTGGCGCGCCGTGCCCGCGGGCGAGCAGGTCTTCATCTTCTACGGCGAGCGGCCCAACTGCGACCGCCTCATCCACAACGGCTTCGTGCAGCCGCGCTCGGCGTGCGACGCGGTGCGCGTCCGCCTGGGCGTGGCGCGCGCCGACCCGTTGCACGCCGAGAAGGCCGCGCTGCTGCCCAGGCTCGGGCTGGCGCCCTCCGGGGACTGGGAGGTGCGCGCCGGCCCGCGGCCCGTCTCGGACAAGCTCGCCGCCTTCGTCCGGGTCCTCTGCATGGACAAGGGTGAGTGGTCGGCACGAAGCAGCCCTTGGGGACAAATCCTCTGCTATGAGTTTTAATTTTCCGGAAAAAGCATTTTAAGGAAATTTGTCAAGGATATTTGTTCGTGAAAAAATCATCATTTTTTTCTCTGAGAAGTTTCAATTTTTTTTCATTTTTTTTGTAAATAGTTCAATGTTTCCCATTTTTTTCCAATTTTCCGACTATAAATTCTTAGTTTTTAACGTGGTCTACTGTGTCTTTGTCTCACGCACTTTTTGTGCTGCGCAGATCAGCTGGAGCGCTGGACGGCGAGCCCCGACGTGGAGTCGCTGCTGCTGGAGGACTGCCCGCAGCTGGACGCCGAGCTCAACGCCAAGGCTTGGGCCTTCCTCCAGGTCCGCGTCAAGCTGCTGCTCGCGGCCTACCCGACCAAACTGGAGGTACATCTATCTCAAGACCACACGGAGAAAAATGATTAGCTGTATAGCAAAAGAAATAGCTAACTAATTATTTAGCTACCTACAAATTGAGCTATGTTTAGCTATATATTATATCCAAATTTGAAGCAAAAAACACTATTTTTTTAGCCAAAGACAAATGTTTATCTAAAGACATAGTTTTAGCTAAAGTGACAAATGTTTAACTAAAGACATAAAGTTTTATCTAAAGACATACATTTTTACCTAGCTAATTCTTCTGTGATAGCTAAATTTTTAGCTACATCGCATTGCCACCTATGTAGTTATACCCCATTTAGCTATTGTTTAGCTATATAGCTAATCTTTTTTTCTGGGCAGGATCGTTTTCGTCAGTAATAAGTTTGACCGTTTCGTGTTTTTGCTTCAGGACGACGAGGCCCTGCTGGTCGACCCCAAGGACGCCAGGCTCAGCCACTGTGCGCGACTCGCCGTGCAGCTGAGGTGCGAAGAGAAGCGCCTGCTGCGAGATGCGCTCGCGTACGTCGAGCAGCGCGCCGCTCGCACCGTTTGAGGGACTTAAGTGTGGCGTGTGGCGCGCGCGTGTGTTATATGTGTGTGCGTGTCTGTGTGTATGATTGTATGTGAGTGTCATGTGTTCAGAATCTCCGAACAAACAGAAAACTATTGTTTTATTTTGTATTTGATTAATGTTAAGTGTTGATTGTTACTTACTAAACCCAGGAATCTCGCCAACTACGAGTCTCTCTGTACAAGTATTCGAAAAAAAAATCTATCGTCTGTAACATGAGGATGAAAAATAAATATTTACTTTTTATCTACAAATGACAACCTTGTGTAGTGCTATGCCACATAATGAATACCACAGGCGCATGCGCAGAAAAGGCACTTCTTGGGGTGAAGTTCGTGGTTCAATTCCACCTCCAGGCGAGAAGCGGGAATCGTTTTTTCGTGCCGCTTGAAGTCTTGTCATTGTTTCGAGATTAATTCGTCATTAATTTGTCGTGAAATTTACCGATTTCAGCACAAATAAATGACGAAAGAAACGCGTTATAATGACAAAGCCGAATCGGCTCACCACACGAATTTATTTCGTCATTTATTTCGTCGTTATTTTGAGTTTCAATAGTGATTGGTTTGTGATTGGTTTGTCATATCATAAATGACGAAAATATGACAAAATTATGCTTGAACAGGCCATACGGGGCAGGACCGAGTTCTGACCTTTCCGTGTAAAGGAGCAGGCGACAGCTAAGTGGCGAGCGCGCTAGGGTGTGGTCCGGGAACCGTCGGCCCAGGGATCGAATCCGAGCCGCGGATCATTTTTCCCGTTCTCTTCGGGTGAACCCGACCAGGTCTGCAGCGAGGTGTGGAGTGGAGGTCGACTACACCACCTACTCATCAGGTCCCGAAAAAAATTTCGCCCCGTTCAGGATTCGATCCCCGGGCCGACGGTGTCTGGGGGACGACGCGCGGCACGCTAGCCACACGGCTGTCGGTTCCACCTGCCAACGAACAGGTGAGAACTCGGTCCTGCTTTCCGAGCACTGGTCTCCCGTATTGCACGCGTTCAGGTCGGGTCAAGTCCACCTCCTCGACGCGCTGCAGCCCGCGTCAAATCCTGGCCAGAAACACGGAAAATGGCCCATAAATGGACCTAACCTAACCCCCGGGCACCCAGGGCGCTCATTTACTGGCATTTTTTCTTGTTTCTGGCCAGGAGTCGACCCGGGCAGCAGCGCGTCGAGGAGGTGGATTTGACCTGACCTGCAAACCGGAGACCGACTCGTAAACCAGGACCGAGTTCTGAACTCTCCGCTGACAAGTGGAACCGACAGCGGAGCGGCGAGCGCGCTGGGGAGAGGTCGAGACACCATCGGCCCAGGGATCGACTCCCAGCTGTAGAACTTTTTACCTGCTCTGTTGATCACGTCTTCGGGGTCAGCAACAGCCCAGATGCGATGTCGCCGGAAGCGGATCAACAGAGAGGGAAAAAAGTTCTACGGCTGGGAGTCGATCACTGACGTGAGCCAGCGGTTTCCGGACCACACCCCAGCGCGCTCGCCATTCAGCTGTCGCCTGCTCATGTGGGCTGTCAAAATAAGATACGGTTTGGCCGACCGACCGACCGACCGACCGACCGACCGACCGACCGACCGACCGCCAACCTCGGAACGACCAGGACGACTGAAATATCGGGGGTTTTCTCGCACGCTGAGTCCAAATCTGGTAGTGCCGATGTCGTCCGGGCCCCCGGGGACGTCATTGGGGACCTTTCCGAGCACGCCGATGACCCTCCCACGACAAATACGATTCGGCTCCAAACGTCGTTACACACGAGCTGGTGCGTATTTCTTGAAAGTCGCCAAATATAATTATTATTAATAGCAAATCGCCCATAATAGTTTATTATCCTGATCATTTCACTATTGTCACTTGGCACTTCCCTGGCGTTGCCGCCTGGAGCCACACAACGATGCGCGGGACGGGAAGCATCCCCCAAAAGGATCACATCCTGGACAAGCGAGGCGGAATTGCCTACCCCAGGAAAGAATCACATCCCGCGACCACGATATGTCGGTGAGTATGCCGTAATTATTGCTCTCCCCCTTTGCCGTGCCGCGTCCCCTACCCCTCTCCTCCTCCTCCCCCCACCCCCACCGCGCATTTCCCGCGCCTTTATGGAAACGTAAACAAACAGTGAGCCTTGTGACGTCAGCATTGGAGGATCTCTATACCGATATAATACCTACTCATTTAATTGATAATCATAGGATTTTAATCAGAATGTAAGAGTGGACATCGCCGCTTTTCGTTACTAATCGCAAGGTATAGTGCTTGATTGTTTCCGGCCCGGAACATTGAATTGTTCCATTCCGGTTATTGTTGTAGGAGGTTAGTGTTCTCCTGTGGCTCAATGTTATTTCCACACACAATTAAATTGTAAGTTATTTTTTGAGGCCGAGTAAATGATGCCCGTGATCTAAATAACTTGGCTCACTGTCAGCTATGTTAAAAAGGTGTGAATGGGTACACTCCTCCAATCCATGCAATATGTTAAATACTGTTGTAGGTCACTTATTAGGCAAATGGGTGAACCTGCCAGTGTTTTATCACATATCATATATTTTACTCTATTTTATTCTCATGGAACAGAAAACTTTATTACTTTCTCATTGGGGTGCAAACCGAGTGGTACTATTTGCGTTATCCCCCAAACAATCAATCAATGTGCGTTGCAGATAATTTGCAGCTGCCCCTTCGCACTTTTAATGTTTAATCCAGTGCCATAATTAGTTATTTGAAAGACCATAGTCATTTAGATACGCATGGGGGGAGAGGCATTTAGAAGTGTATTGTATGAGTTAATTATAAGTACCGTTTAATATGATTGCAGGAACTTGGCCCAGAAATGTTCTTGACATGAGCAAAAGAAGTCTATGGAGTCATTTTACCCAAAAGAATAGGTGAGTTGACATGACAGTAACCGCCAACGCTGGTCCAATTTGTCTCCACTAAGAGAGGAGCTTCCTTTCGTGTGCATCAAAGGGTGGTATTTGATGTTTTTTGTGGTGCCCTGGTTCTTTGTTGTCGATTTCAATCCTCTGTCAAAATCCAGGCTGATTTGTTATCACTGAAAATGTGTTTTAAAAATCTTGGCAATTTGGAAAATTGCTGGAATTGGTTTGGATTGGTGGGGCAGACTCCCTTTTCACATGCTCTGTCTAAATATCATGGTGCCGACCCACTACAGCTGAGTTCTTAGCCAGTGCGCCTTAGGTAGCCTCCCCGCCCTTAGTTAGAGAGACCAGCTCTTATAAAACTCGAGTTTTTGTGGACAGGGGTTGTTTTTGACAGAAACAAAGGTAGTTTCGTGGTGCCTGGTTCACTCCTGTCGATTCGAATACTCATCCATCGAAATCCGGACCCCTTTGTAAATTTTGCCAAAAATGAAAAAAATTGAAAATCGCTGGAAATGGTCGAAATGTCGAAATTTTGCGCCGCCGGTCCATTTCAAGTGAGTTGCGCCTGTTTTTC